GTCATCTGATCCAGACCCTGAGGGCTCCGTCAGGTGTCATCTGATCCAGACCCTGAAAGCTCCATCAGGTGTCAGCTGATCCAGACCCTGAGGGTTCATCAGGTGTCATCTGATCCAGACCCTGAGGGTTCATCAGGTGTCATCTGATCCAGACCCTGAGGGCTCCGTCATGCAGTTAGTGGTGATTTCTAACAGATAAAGTCAGTCTGGGTGCTCCTGCTTCTGCTCCCCCTGCGGGCCTCAGCGTTTGTGTGTTTCACCTCGATTCATCCAAACAGGAACGAACATGTTTTTAACCCCTGAGGACCAGAACGTCTCCAACATCCAGCTCCGGGTTCAGAACCTTGTTTCATCAAAGATAAACGGTTCTGTCGGAACCCGGTTTTTGAGCGGAGATGTGATGATCCACATCCTCCACTCGGAGACCTTTAACGCTGTCTCCGTCTCTGCGTCCTGCTCCTCCAACCCGTCCACTGAAGACACTGTCTCTGATGGCCTCCTGTTGATGTACTGGTCTCTGTGTGAAGAGGACCAGAACTTTGAGTTCTGTTGTAACCAACACAAATGGATCCAGCTGTGTGGAGGTGGCTCTGTTATTTTTAACGTTTTAATTTGTTTATTTTTATAAATAGGAGAGCCCTGTCGGCGTCTCTTTCTTTGTGCTTCCTGTTTGATCTCACGCAGCTGGACCCATCACGGGTTTTAATGCGTCCAGCGGGTTCTAACCAAGTCCTGTTTTCTGTTACAAGAGCAAAACGCAGTGAAGAGCGTGGGATTAGATGTGCAGCAGGAGGATTCACGAAGGCCAAACCTCGTGGACAGTTTCCTCAGAAAGCTGCCCAGCACCACGCAGAAGATAATGGGATTGTAATTTAATTTAGATTTATTCAGATTTAGTGTAGACTCAATAAAGACAGTCCCTGATTCAGTGCAGCGCCGAGCCTTTTTGTTCAGGCTCAGCTCAGCAGGTGGAGCCTGCAGGATGACTTCAGGTGTATTAACAATAATCTGCAGGAGGCTGAGCTCATAAACACCTGGAATCAATTATTAATGTGTTGAAACATCTGGCTCTGGCTTTAATTAAAGATGAACCTTCACCCTGCCCTGCAGACGAAGCAGTTTCTGTTCGTTTTTATTTGTGTTTGTGTCGGTCTCCTCAGCCTGGAGCTGAGTCTGCAGAAGCTCAGGGAGGGAGCCATGTGGCCGGAGCTGGTGACGGGAAACAGGAGGGGGGAGCTGGTGCTGAGTGACGAGCAGGCCGCCCTGATCCACGACAGACTCACCCATCTGACCTCTGAAGATCTGGTGAGGCTGGTTCTGGTCCATCTGACCTCTGTAGACCTGTTGAGGCTGGTTCTGGTCCATCTGACCTCTGTAGACCTGTTGAGGCTGGTTCTG